TTTAATTCCCATTTTCGTAAACAGCATTCAGAACTCTATCGATTCATGTGAGTCTCCATTTAAAGTTCCAAGATAAGTAGACTACCCCTCCCTGGTAAGGACAAAGTAGAAAGCTAGCAGAATTAAAAGACTCTCTTCAAAGACTTATATTTTGCAAAAATGAATAGAAAAACTTCAATGGTTCGCAACCTGTACAATAACCTACAAGGAGCCTTAAGATTGCCAATGACATGATATGGGACTGAATAACTGGAGTCGAATAGTGCGCTTTCATTATATCGGATAAATTATAAAAGCGGAAATGTTTGGTACTCGGTGGACTTCTCCATTTTCAGGATTGTTCCAGAACAAGGAGCCGAGCAAGTGCATTCCACCGAGCTTTTCAAGCTGCTCCGCGTGCTGGAGACTGCCTAGGAGGGTGGTTACGGCACTTCCACTTAACTATCCATCCAGCACCGCCGCTTCCACAGGACTCTTTGGCATACACATCGGTTTTGACTGCAGTAGGCGCTTTAAACCAAATCTCAATCATAGCGCTTTCTAGGCTGTTTTTCATACGATAAGGCTACACAACGATTCCTCCAAAACCAAGGAGCCGCCCCAATAAGTGTGATACGCAAAAGCAGTCTCATTACTAATTGCCCCTTCAACAAGTGTCGTAAATAAGACGAAGTATTGTATGAAATTAAGACGAAGTGTGGTATGGCAATGTGAAGATATATCAATCAACCACTGAGAAAACTAACCATGAGGACAATGAGGGACTAGATGGCACCCAGCAGTGGATAAAACCGTAAACGTTCCGCGTTTTCGCAACCTTGAACCGCCTTCCGAGCCCACACGAGATTCCTTTTTCTTGAAGATCTTGTTTTTATTCTTGGGGTGAGCAAAAAACTTCTTTTTTTGCGTTCTTGACTTCTTCTTTGACATTCCAAGTTAGACCTGTTAATTGTTTCATTCGTTGTAAAAAAAAAATATGTTTTCTTCTCGATGTTAAAATACTCGTTCTTACTACATTCAAATCAACCGAAACACATCTTTTCAACAATATTTATTGGTAACCGGATCATATCAGAGCTACACGTCTATGTATTAAAGTCATCCTAAATATGAACAAACTACTTGGACGAACACGACCACAGGTCAAATCTCGGAACAACGCACACCGAAAAGTAAAAACAGAATTTTTCTCTGAAACATATGCTTAGAGTGCGAACACCAATCGGAAAGCCTCGGTGAGTCCAACATCGTTAGTGTTGAAATGGAGGAGGCCTAAAATGACTAAGTATAGTGATTGGCACCTAAGTTATAGATGAAAGAGAAAGGACTAGGCAGAGCCTAACCGCTATGCGTTTTATACATTTAGCATTGTGACCAAAAAAAAAAACGTCGTAGATATGTACGCACCTGCCAGAATAGCAGCAGTAATCAGGTAGACACAAGCTCGAGCAGTCTTTGCAAGAGTATCACCAATGACGAAAGGACGAGCGTAATCTTGGACAACACCTTGTACTCCCCTAAAACGTCATCATCCAACAAAACATAGTGAATCCGTAGGAAGGAATGATTTTCAGATACTACTAGTAAAAGATCTATAATATAAGAAAACTGTAAAGAATATTTGAATATAACAGCACCAATGGATGTGGAGAGTGAGTGCAACCGTGAGCAATGCATCCATCACTGGACCATGGATGAAATAGGCAGCGGGGAACAAAGGAACCATAGCAGCAGCAAAATAGCGCTCAATCTGAAAAGAATGCAAGCTAAAAAAGCATGAACACGGTTTGCTTAAAAAAGCTAGTACCCACGTTACACTAAGGAAAATATACGCGCGTATATCCTGTGCTTGTGCATATTTGTGTGTGGATGTGTATATGAGCATGTGTGAATGTGTATCTGTGTGTTGGGGCTAGACGTGCGCGACATAAGCGTTACCCGAGTAAAAAAGAAGAGCCAAGTTACATGAACATAAACTAACACTGAACACTCTGTGCTGGACTGGACTCTGTGCTACTCGAGTAGGAATAGGCAATGCCAAGTCAAATGGGAACTCAAAAGGTTGAGAACAAAACTAACCCCGACAGATTGGCTGGAAACCAAGACGAGCAAGTCTAGGACCAAAGAACTGCATTCCTTTCCTAAATCGTCTAGAGGAGGAAGAAGTGAAGAGAAGCAAGCATAGGTAGAGAAGACATGGCAGTATGGAAGGGCATGAAAGAGCGCGGTGCTTGGATTCAAAACCGACAATCTTAATCGAGAGCACAATCGTCCCAAATTAGGCACCATTTCCAGATTTGCTCCGCTTAGGACACACAGAGTTCACTTCTTTTGGAAATTACGCTGTGAGCATGTTGATCGATAAACAGATTTAAATTGATCTATGGCCTAAACGACCGGATGTTCCCGTTTTCGCTCACTCAAGACATCTAGTGTTCAAACCTGAATGAATATGAAAATATGCGTTTACATTATATACGCAACGGTAGCGACCGAGTATGGTTGAGCGATTCTGATCGGTAAGCATTTATTTGCACTACTGAATATGGGCTAGTACCTACTCATTTTCAAGAAGGGGTGGGACAATGCTGCTTTGGGACGTATCTGATAGCGGGCGCGCCTTGAACAAAGCAGAATACAAGTATCAATCCCTTCAATCCAGGCGCCGAGCTGAGCACCGTATGGAAATGATTGGGATAAAGAGACGGCACATGACGCAAGACACGTTCAAGACAATCCGTACAGGCCGGAACTGGATAGGAACTAGAAGAAGCAGCACGCCAATTGTTTGCAAAAGCCCGTTTGACACAAAAAACGGTCAGGTAGACGAGTTGCTGCCCTTAGGATGTGATAAGAAGTGCACAGGCCTTGTGGTGGAAGTGACGAGACAAGCACTGAGGCCCCTATTTTTATTCTAAGTGGTTACAGGTCGGTCGGCCAAATACCAAAATTGGTATTCAGTTGCATATTTTTTTCTAAGAATTCTGAGAACGGGAACCTGAATTCAAGGAATGGTTTGGTTTGAGGTAGCACTGAGTCCATGATAAGATATGGCCTTCAGCCTTCTGTTTGAGAGAAGACCTTCAAGGATGACTAGCCTACTAAGTAAGAAGGAAGCTTTGCAACAAGAAAGCTAAAATCATCAGAAAGGGAGAACTGGCGCCAAACAATGTGCGCGGAAATGCTACTGTTAATAAAATTATCCTTAAAAGTTTCCTAGTTTGAGCTCCGTCAACGAACGAAAACCAGAGATGCCGCTGCTTACGCTGAGGAATAGAACATAAGTTGGACCGGACATGTTGTACGATACTGTGATGACCGTTGGACCAAGACGGTTACCGAATGTATCCCTCGGAATGGCAAACAAATACGAGACTGCCGCTAGCGTTATGGTCAGACTTCTTCACGGAAGCTCTGAAGGAGAGCTATACCACGCGTTCCTTGAACAAGGCTCACGACACTACTGGGAACGCTACCAGAGCCCGCTTAAGGACATCAGTTATTAAGAGACAGTTGACATAATTTACTGATCAATATCTATTGGAAAAAAAGAAAAGAAAAAACCTCGTGACATAATGAAATGTTGTAAATCAAAGTGGCCTTACACGAGGAAATGGAATTCAAACCAGACTGTGAAGCATCACTTTGCAGCTATCGGAAAAGTCATCTATTCACTGAATGAGATGTATGCTAGCAATTATTTTGCGCTCAATGTCAGACACTGAATTTAAAATATTATGGCATATTTGATCGGAACCACTCGTTTTGGTGTTCAGTAAGGACAACTTCCTTTTCCTCCTCCACCACTCTGCCACTCCCCTACCACTGAGTTTTGCGGAAGAAATCGAAATCACGCAGCCCGATAAATGGATTAAAATATCCCACGATCATCAACAAGCGGCTCGTCGATCGAAATCGTCGACTTTTGAGCTCGGAAGAGGGCAAAGGCAATGAGAAAGAAAATATAAAATCCTACAATCCTAAATACTAAATCACTAACCATTCACTTCAAGCTATTTGAATTGGAGTAGGCATCAAACGGAGAAGCACCTCGTTGTCTAATAAGATTGTCGAAACATCAAGGCCAGAAAACATAATTTGCCAGGTGCGGCAAAAATATATTTAGAGTATTCAAAAAATTGTTAGACCTGCGATCGATACCATAAGATCAGTGCGCCCCTCTGGAAACTGCAAATGGTGAGGCACTGTGTAAGAAGGTGTAAACTCTTCCCCTATAGCGAAAGCAGGTTCTCGCCGAAACCGCTCAGCAAGCTTTTATCCTTTCTTTTATGAAATTGTCTAGTTTTTAGAAAATGTACGAAGACGAATCTTCTCTGTGAAGAACATTCCTGAACGTTGATCAATTCTATCACAGAATTCGATACTTCTAACCCTTACTGGCGACTGGCAGTCCTACAGTTGAAAGCCAACGTATACTTCACTTGGAAAGAATACTGCCTGTTCTTCTGGGTGAGCAAAATCGGACAAAATAACGAACTGGGACTTACTTTGAAATGCAGAGAATGGTCATGGGTTTTACTCGCTCCATCGTCAAGAGTGCTAGGGAGCGCACGAGCGACAGTGGTGCTCACTGGAGTACAAAGACGTGGCATCGTTCGAGCAGCCAGCAGCGCTCTCTGAGCACGAACGACGTGGCGCAGAGTAAATGACATCACTGCAACAAATTCGCGATTGTGAATAAACACTAACTGAGGAAAAAAATCGAGTACGAAATGAAAATGAAGATTGGGCAGGTAAGAATAGACACACAATTTATGACTATGACTGAATTTATGATAGCATGAAGAGGATAAAACGACGAGTATTAGAAGTGCTACCCAGACGCCCTCGTGCTCGCTACATTGTTTTAGAATGGCATATAAGACCCGAGAGTGAGCTTAAACGATGAGTCCACAGAAACTGAAACAACATTGAATGTATGGCACGGAAAACTAAAATCAAATCTAGTCGCACATAGAGCTCTCAGGCACTCTCAGGTGGATCACGCAGAAACATCGTTATCAGAACAATTCAAACTTGTCGTATAAGAAACAAACCCAAGAATAATAGCCCCTGAATGGATATCATTCCAAAGAACTGTGCCAAGACATGGGAACTAGGCATTTTCCAAGAAAACTAGCTATTTATGTTGTCTCCTCCGTATGTATAAATGAGCAAGAACCGGAAAATTTCGGTCGATAAAATCGCCCTGTAAAGAAAATGGGCCCCAGCATTTCATCGATTGCCCATTAAACATTGCATCCAATATGAGTTTCAGACTAGGGTCCGGACAGTTGAAAAAACTCTAAGGTAAGGTTCGCTTTCGAAATTCTCGGAGACTTGCGCCTGAGCTAAGCTGTGTGATGAAAGTGTTTTCCACGGTGGTCGAGCCCCGTGATGTCAACGAAGTATTTCGACATGAGCGTGAAAGTTCAGGAGTACGGATAGTACATGTGGGCGCCCGAGCCGTCTGGGCAGCCGTCTGCGCTGTCGGGGAGCGCGCACATCGCGTTAAGGCACAAGTGGCGACATTACAGCACTCTAACCTCCTGAACTCTCGTACCGACGGTACTCAGTAATAGTTACAAGCGAAAATCTAGTTGGAGGGAGCCATTCTCTGCCCTTTGTTTTTTCAACATAGTTGCTAAAGTCAATGAAGGATAAGACGACTGTTTTGCGGGCTCGTAGTGATGCATAGAAACACACACTCTGAGCCTGCCAGGGAAATCGATTTTCGGGCCTGTCTGAGGATTCCCCCGGGTCAGAACTAATCAGAAGAACAGAACACTACTCCAGATCTAAGGATGTGGAAGAGCATGGGGTGAATAATAATTTAACTCTATGGGAAGAATTGAATTGGGAGAGGAATTGGCTAGTAGGCATGAACAGAAGACCTCAAGATGACCTGCCAGCAGTACGCAGGTAGAATCGTCGAAGTATGAAAGTAGCCAGTGGGCGCTTTCCGAGTTCAACGACGTGCTTTGAAAACGCAGCGTTGAAATACATGCATTGACAGCAGTGGACATCGCCTGCTGCCAACGTGGCCGTTTGGTAAAATTCTGTCGACGGCGTCCGCGCCGCTTCTAACGGATTTGTTCTTTGCTTGGAAGATGAGCGATCACAAAGGCCGTCAGAGGCGGCGCGGATGCCGTCAACCCACTTCCGCCGAGTGACCAACGTCATCAAAAACAATGTTCAGCAGTGTCAGCGTCGCTGGCAATGTTGCGTTTCCAACGCACGTCACTGGACGCTGAAAACACCCACAAAGTCTCCAGAAAACTAGCTGGCTAGAAAATTCCGTCATGGGCCCAGTCCACGAAGTTTTCAGCACCATAGAATTTACATTTAAAAACCACGTTAAGTTCCTCTCCAGATTATGAGCAGAATATTTCTGCAGTAGGAAGAGACTCACACAACACGGCTTTAGTATTGGGCTTGTTTTGAGCGCAGCCCGATTGGCTACTTGTTAAATATGCAGCCAAAAAAAAAAATAGTGGACGAGTTTTGGGCGGCTTCTACATTGTTTTACACTTTAGCCATCTATTTCCTGCGAGTTGTTCGCTGTAAGACCAAGCACCAGCGTTTCTCTGAAATCGATTGATTTCGACCGTAGATCCTTTCTAGATACTATCCAAATCATTCCTACTTGCACAGAAACTAGAGCGAGAAAATAGTAACGTATTCTCCGAATGAGTACGCTTATGAGAAGAATTGAGTTTACTTTTTTCCTTAAGAATTCTACTCAGAAGAAGGAAGATAGGGGGAAGAACATGCAGAGCTTCTTGTTCTACAGCAATCTACTTTTATGTTCGAAAAACGCATCTGGTTTATTAGCACCAAACCAGATTCTTAATGTACTAACGAAGGATTGAGGGCTTTTTTAATAGAAACTGGAGCCCGGTTTCACAACGAAGACTAAGGCTAAACACTATCATGAGGGAGTAGACAGCTGCCACGCGAATTTTCGGGTATGCGTCCAGGCAGCAGTGCCGTACTAACCTTCCCAACTATTTATCAAGTCAAAATATGATTTCACAACAATTGGACTACTATCCTGAAATAAAGCAGAATCGTGGCACACCGCAGCATAGTGGTTTGATATGAACAGTTAAAACGGAAATGTGAATAGAGAATTACGGGCCACTGGAGGATTGACGTGGGCCTACTCTACGGAACTGGTACAGGGAGACCGCTCGAGGTAGAATGAGCGAGAACACTGAACGCACTGAAATGGACTGCATTTGTACTACAAGAGTTTAATGCGAAACGTGCGACATGCAATTATACCGCAATTGTGCGTTCTGTCAAAATACAAATTACGACCAATCTGCTTCAATTCTCGCCAAATGTCTAGAATTTCAAATTATTGAAGTATTCATCCTCCTAATTATTCCTAAATAGAGGAATCCTGAAATCCGCTACAATTTTAGATAAGGGTTCGGTAGGGTGTTGCAGAAATCGTTGTTCTCAGTACGGTTCTTGAATTGTGGTGAAATTTTCGACATTTTCGCTCCCTTCTCCATCATGCCCTAACCAGTCATCATCTTATACTGCCTGAATTCCTCCTTCTCCTTGCCATTACCTCTTTTTCAGTTCTATTCAAAGCTGTGGCATGGAGCACTTTTACAATGTGTGGTGTGCTTCTTCGAATGATCTCTATACGCCACCTCAGAACAAAGTGAGAGCGTCGCTCTACGTCATCATTGTGATGGTTCGGTTCATCATCTGACTCTGAGTTCTTCATAGAGTGTATTTGCCTCAGAATTTCAAGTAATCCTTGATCTGGTTGGCTCTCCTTCCTAGAAAATCAGATGAAGATGAGTTTATAGTCTTTAGTCTGAAAAGCTATCCGTGCGTCTTCAAATACCGGCGGTAAATTCATATTTCGGAGTGTAATTCAGCTGCTTACTTCGCATTTACGGTCGTGGAGGAGAGTCTACAAGAGGATGTTGATTGACCGTTACTGCATCTTCAGTTATTCCAAAATTACTTCCGAGTTTTTTGGGAGTTCGACTGGACTCTGTTTCTGGACAGTTCTTGGCTTTGGCTCCCAAAGCTGCTTGAAATGCCGGAAAAAATAGAAAGAAGGGGTGGTAAAGTTACTGTAGACTCATGCTCATAATTTCAATCAACTTTGATATCTGTTCATAGGGTTGGTTGTGTAAGTCACTGACCTTCACCTTCTTTACTTTTAATTTTTGGCATATTCGAAGGCTGAAGTCACTGGTGCTAGTGTAGGTGCACATCGAAACGTTTTTTTTTTGAAAAAGGTTGTAATTCATAGACTTAAGTTTTTTTTTTTGAAAAATGCTGAACGGTTACGTGGATTCTTTTGAGTCTTTGTCGGTAAGTACTGCAAACTTGTCGAATTCGAAGGTTTTTTATTTGAAGAACTCTATACTCTTTTTTCATCTGTTTCTTTTTATCGTCAACATCCCACAATAGTCTAGTTTTTCGATATCGCGTTTCTTCCCATACTGCACTAAAAAAGCTATTTATTTATGAGTTTCCCTTCATGTAATATTCGCTTTCTTCAAAGTAATGCTCTAATTTGATTTTTTAAAGTTTTTACTCCTTCCAAGGCCAACAAGAAAGTATTAAATTAAAAGAATGTACGCATGCGTATATCATTTGCAAAGAGCTCTTTATTATTCCTTCTCCCTTCAGAATTCGGTTTTTATCATTTAACCGGTGTGATGGCCTGGCTGACGCCGGGCTTTCCTCCTTTTTGTGTTGAAGTTGGCCAGCCGCCTCCACCACTTTCATATTTAGACGCTATAGCCCAGCAGAGCAGAAGTTATGATTTCCGGCCATACACACACTCCGACACACTTCATGCGTGCACCGTCCGCCATGAGCGGAGTTCTGCTCTAGTTCTTTGTATTCATGTACCCTGCTTCATTCACACTAATTTCATCTTCACTTCGCACTTTTACTCGAGTAGCACTTTTTATACATACCTTCCGCGCCCTTGCATTCGACCCCTTCCCCGCCCCTTCCCGTGTGGAGTCCAGATCGTATACGTGCTACCTTATATCATCCCATCCCTTCTAGTAAATTCGAACGCGCTAGGTCCAAACTAACAGTTTACGCTCGCGCTCCGCCCCTGTGAGAAGAGTCTAGAGGTCGTGGCACAGGAGCCGCCCAAAAATGAATCGTAGGAAAGAATGCTGGTGTCGTGCATTAGGAACGCGGCGAGAGAGACGTCGCGCGAGGGGATGTAGCAGAATGCAGCAGCAAGTGAGAAATTCAGGAACAAAAGAACTAACTGTAGAATCATGTCATAAGTAATAATCGCATAGTGATTGAGCTGTATGAAGAACGCTAGAACTGTAATAACGAGGCAAATGGTCCGCGACAGCCGCGTGCGACGGATCGATTACGCAAAGCCGTTCCTCCTGCCCGCCTCCCGAAGAATGCCTCGCATTGATGGAGCTACGGCCTCCTATAGGTTGGCCTTCATTCAAACTCTGAATGAAGGCCTATACTTGCTGACAGCGGTCGGTTGGTACCGTCGGTTGCTGGGTGGTTTCGACGAATCTTCAAAGCCACGGTGAGCGGTTTTGCAGATTCGTCGAAACCACCCAACAACCGACGGTACCAACCGTCCAGTGTCTGCAGGTATTTTCCTTTCAATCACCTGCGTGCCCTGGGGGTCGCGAACTTTAGTGGG